CCGGCCTCCAGGAACTGGCTGAAGTAAGTGCGGAGCTGCGGGGAGCGCAGCGCGGCCGGGACGCGGCTCACCAAGCAATACTGAGCGGGCCCCTCAGTGCTGGGCGCCGCCATCTTGTGCCCCCATCACGTGGGCGGGCATCTCACGAGAGTTCTGGCGGCTGCGGGAGATGACGCGAGGGTGGGGCTCGGCGCGAGGGGATGATGTCACGCGCAGGGCGCATGTGGCTGGTGCTGGGGGAAGCGGGGCAGGCCCGAGGAGTCCGGGGGCTCCGCCGGATTATGACATGCTGGGGCCCTAAACTACGCCCCCTACCATCAAAATAATCCACGAAAATGGCATTTTTAAATGAATTATTATTGCTGCACAAACGTATGAACTCAAGAGGAGTGGAGTCATATATACGTATATATTTAATATTAGAGAGAAAATGTCCTTTTTTTTCCCTCCTTATGTCCAGGCCCTTCATATTGTGAGGCCCTAAACTGTTTACTACTTAAGCAGCTGAAGCCTAAATTGGACACCAACAGGCGCTGCTATCCACCGGTCGGTGACCAGACAGCGCCATTGCTTCGTTTGCCCTGTGCCGTGACTGGAGCAGGCATCGCTTCCTCACTTGCACGATTAGTCTGGGCGCATCTACATGTTCATTAATGCGCTTTAGGTAATGCACATTAAATACAGTACCTCCGTTGTGACGTACTAAAAAAATGTGCACGAGCCTATTGTAACGCACATTGGCTAAAGAGCACTTTTTGGTGGTGTTTTCACGCGCATTAAGGTAGGCTAAAGTGCATTAAAGTGCACATGTAGACATGCCCTATGCCTGCAGCCCCTGGTGACCTGGTTCTCACTGCCACCAGCGCGGCTAACCCAGTAGCCAGAGCATTGGCAACCGTAGCAGAGAGAATCAGAAAATTTGGGGTGGAAGGGAGCTCAGGAGGTCACATCTGGCTCAACCTGCTGCTCCAAGCAGGGCCAGCCCCACCTAGATTGTTCCAGCCAAAAGGTCACAGGCTGCATCTTCCCTTCATCCCTGGTGGCTTGGAGTTAAACATCAAGGTGTGTCTAAGGTGTTGCAACACGGGCAGTCTTCCAGCTCCAGCCGCACGCACCCCGGGCAGCTTAGACGTGTACTGGAGCTGGAGACGTGTACCCCTGTGCTGCCCTGTCGTTACCTGTCAGTTCCGTGTTTGACCTGCTGAGCCTACAGAAGCGAGGGGAAATTAGGTGGGGCTAAGTCATATAGTTTTAGAAGCCAAAGCAGAGAAACGCAGCCATAAAACTACTAAGAGCAGAGTGAAAAGTATACAGGCAGCATCATCCTTTAATTTTCACATTAGAGCCTCTCACTTGTGCATCAGTAAGTGGGCAATATGGAATCATAAGCTCGGGAGGGACCTCAACTGTCATAATCCACCCCCTAAGCGAGCACGAAGTGTTTGTGCCAAGTGCCTTTTGAGGGTAATGAGACAATGAAGGGGCGCACGGT